GGTGGTATTAGTATCCTTTACATCCCAAAAACCCTAATTAATGCAAAACATCCTGACAATTGTTTCCGTCACTGTATCTAAGAGCATGAACCCATCTAGCCTATAACTATACATGCAATGCAGATGTATAACCACCCATGCATATGCATATGTACCGTTTCGCCACGTAATCCCATTCTGTCCCACAAACCATTTTCCCATAACTGTTCTTGTATGCTATATAAGCCTTGCTTGTATTCAACAATATCATCAATCATTTACCTAGTTACTTTTCGCATACTTCGTCAACAACCAGGGCTGGCATTTCAAAAAAAGGCACTCTGATTTTGCCCCCCCCAAAATATTCCCGAGTCTGAAGAGTCAGTTTTCAATTTTTCGCTACTCTGAAATCTCAGTGTCCAAGAGTCAACGAGTCTGAAATACTTAGGGTTCTGAATGTCGACTCAGATTCCTGCGCCCAAGTCGAAATCTTGTATTTTTAGAGTTTACACGCTATTGGGTAGAGAACTCGTTGTTTCTTAGCTGGTGGAACAATGGGGCCGTAAGACAGGATTTCACATAAACGACTAGATTGACGGAGCCTGTACCCTCGCGGCCTCTTTCGAAGTCTGACGCTGCTCTAGGTGGGGTGGGACCCCAACACCTGTTTTTCACCATACCCGAGTGTGCAAGTATAATGACGATAGCACAAAACTTCACGGGTGATGGTTCATTATGTTCAAGAAACTTTCTCAATGCGAGGGGTATTAGCGCATATATTGTGAGGTGCTTGCGAGGCCCAGCTTGTTGTGACGAGCAGGGCTTACGTCTGGTTTTTGGGGCATCCGTCAAATCCGGGTATCTGGCCAAAGCTACCCGTCAGAATCCGTGTTCAGTACCCTGTTCTGTCAAAATTTACCTCTCAAATCCGGGTTTCACAACCAGTTCTGACAAAAGTCACCTGTCAGAATCCGGGTTCAAACCATGTTTTTGGAAAAGACACCCGTCAGAATCCGAGTTCAGCGAAAAAATCACCCGTTAATTTGCTGAAATCTGGGTAATTCCCATCAGAAATACGCCCTCGCGACGAGTCGCAAGCAAGGCTGACGCTGTACGACAAAGCACGTCGAAGGTCAATGCGTGTACAGTACAGCCGCTTGTCTGCGATGGGTCTTTGTAAGTGTGTGATTGGTTGTTGGGGGACTTTGTTATCTGCTCAGAGGACTTGACAAACGTTTTCAGGGGAAAGGGGAGTGGGAAGAATGTGTCAAACATATTTGTATATGTTATTATAGGCTAGATAGGTGCATGCTCTTAGAGGGTACAAACTTTTGCACAAAACCAACCTGTATGCCTCATACTAGTCAACTTTTCTACTCTGAGATGGTATCACGCGCTAGGTTAGGTCCTCCCCGCCCACCCACGCTTCCGCTCTCATCCTAGCCCTAGCCGCCCGTTCCTAGCCGCCCCTTAGCGCCCCGTCGGCCCCGTGTGCCCCGCCGGCACCATGAGCCCTGTAGGCCCGTTAGCGCTCCATCGGCCCCATGCTCCCTCACGTCCCTGTTAGCGCCTTGTCGGCCCCGTCGGCCCCGTGCGCCCTCTCGGCCCCGTTAGCGCCCCGTCGGCCCCGTCGGCCATGTACGCCCCGCCGGCCCCTTAGCGCCTCCCCGGCCCTCTCCTGCCCTCCCGGCCCCGTTAGCGCACCGTTGACCTCGTGCGCCCCTCTGGCCCCACTCGCCCCACCGGCCCCTTAGCGCCCCGCCGGCCCGCTCGCGCCGTCCCGGCCCCGTTAGCGCCCCGCCGATCCAGTGCGCCCCTCTGGCCTAGTGCGCCCCGTCGGCCCTGTGCGCCCCGTCGGCCCGCAAGCCGCCCAGCCAGCCAACTCAAACCTCCCCCCCCCCCCCCCCCGCTTTCTCGGCCGCCCGTCGTCCCGTTGAGCCCCAGCGCCGACCCACCGGCCCTGGCTCCCTTCCGCCCCGGTCTCCCTGCCAGCTGTCTCCACCGCTCTCCTCCACTCTCCACCGCCCTTCACCGCATTCCACCACACTCTACCGCACTCCAACGCACTCCACCGCACCCCACCTCCTCCTGTCCTCCTCACTGGTAAAATTGCAGCAGTGGCGATGGCAGACTCACAGCTCCGTCTGGACGCAGAGGGTCGGGTGCTCGACTTTGAGGCATGGCTCGTCGACCTCCGGCGTCACCTTACAGGTCAGTGCCAGGACGGTCACTCCCTGGCTGTTCATGTTGATGGCCTGCTTCCCCGCCTCCCTGCCCCTGCTGCCCTCCGTGCTGTCCCCACCTTCGCTGAGCGTGAGGCCTTTTCCGCTGCTTGAGCGAGCCGTCTAAGACTTGCGCAATGCGGTTGCCCAGCTTGCTATCAGCCGTGCGCTCCCGTTGTCTGAGCGTCCTCGTTTCACCACTGTAGCGAACGCCCATGCCTTCCTAGATGCTCTCATTGTACGATATTCCACCCCCGCCACTGCCTCTGCCGGTCGCCTGATCCTCCCCATGATGTTCCCTGATCTTGCGTCCTTCCCCACTGTCGTCGACTTTGCTACGCACCTCTGCGCGCTCAAGACCAGCTATCGCCCTACTAGTAGTGAGGCACAGCTAACTGCCTTCGCGCCGCCGTTCTGCGCTACCCTTTATCTCATCGCCACGCGCCTCCCTGACCGCCTAGCCACAGCCCGCGACCACTTCCTTAGTCAGCACCCGGGTGACCTCACTCTCACCGCCTTCGTTACTGTCCTGTCTGAGATAGAGACCCCCCAGTGCAGCATTGCTCAGTCCAGCAGTACTGCGGCAGTACCTATCTTTCAGAGCTGTGCTCCCTCCCAGTGCACTTACTCGGTCGTCTCTGCTGCTGTTAATGAGACCGCTGCTGCGACCTTAGCTCAGAAGCGTCCGGGTAAGGGTCGCCGCCCCAAATGGGGGCGTGGTGGGGGGAAGGGGGGTGGCGATGGGGAGGGTGGCGGAGGTGAGGGCGGGGATGGTGGTTCAGACGAGGGAACCGGGGCTGGTGCCCTGGAGCAGCCGCAGCAGCAGACGCAGCCTCAATAGCATCAGCAGCAGACTCAGCAGCCGCAGTAGCCGCCGCAATCGGTGCAGCAGCAGCAGTCTAGGCACCCCACGTGCGCAATCGGTGTGTCCAGCGTGCGTAGTCTAGGCACCCCTGCTGTGTCAGGCATAGGATCCTCTGCCTTGTTTAGCCTAGGCTCCATACTAGCCTCTCTGACGGCAGCCGCTAGCGCTGCGCTCTCCTCCACACTCGACTCTAGTGCGACTACCTGCTTTTTCGACGACCACGCTTCCCTTACGCCGCTTGCCACCCCTGCCACCGTTGCACTTGCAGACCCCTCCTCCGGTCCGGTAGTGGCACGTAGCTTCACCACCCTCCCCGGTCCGGCGGACCCCTCGGGCACACTTACAGGCCTGCACATCCCCTCGTTCTCTAGGAACCTAGTTGGTGTCAGCTGTCTTCAAGACCTCGGCGTCATCACTACGTTCCTCGGACACGAGCGGTACGCTGTCTATACCGAGACCGTCTCAGGTGCCCCCCTTGCGACATTCCCCTGGGACACGTTGTCCGGCCTGTTTACACTTGACACTACACCAAATAGGCTGCAGCTTGCTCGTGTCATTCGCTCACTCACCCGTCGCTGCTGTGGCACCACCGCCTAGGTCATCCTGCACTCCTACGTCGGCGTCACATGTCCCAACACGGTCTTGTCCTAGGTCTTCCTGCATCGCTCCCTTCCCTGCCCCCCTCGCCTGCGCCAACGTGCACGCCCTGCTTCGAGGGCCGGCTGCACCGTGCTCTTCACTCCTCCTCGCTTCGCCCTGCCATCGCGATACTCCAGACCCTGCACCTACATGTATGGGATCCAGCCCTCATCCCTGGGCCGCGTCGAGAGCGCTACTTCCTGGTGCTTGTCGACGACTACATGCGCTACACCATGGTGTTTCCTCTAGAGCGGAAGGCCGACGTGCCTGACGTTCTGATCCCATGGGTCGTAGCTACGTGAGTCCGCCGTGGTCTCCACGTGCTGTGTCTCCACTCTGACCGTGGTGACGAGTTTGCCTCCAGTCGGCTTGGCAGAATCTATCGTGCAGAGGGCATCACCCAGTCGTACACCATGCCAGTCTCCCCACAAAAGAATGGGGTCGCTGAGCGATGCATCGGTTTGGTCATGGAGGTGGCTCGTACCTACATGATCCATGTCGGTGCACCTCATTTTTTGTAGCCGTTCACTGTTCGCTACGCCCCTCACCAGCAGAACCTGTGGCCCCGCTCCCAGCGGCCGCAGGTTTCACCGACCCTCCTCTAGCCCAGGTCTCCTGGTGACGCGTCTGCGTTCTACGTCTAGGGATGCCTTGCTCACGTTCGTGCCTCTGGCACAGACAAGCTTACTGCCCGCACCGTCCACTGTGTCTTCCTTGGTTTCCCCCTTGACTCGTCTGACTGGCAATTTTACCACCCGCCATCTCACCGCTTCCTTCACTCGCGTAACGTCACTTTTGATGAGTCTGTCTCCTTTTACCTTCGCTTTCCTCACCGAGGTCTCCCGGTTCCCCATCTCTGTTTCTGGTTCTCAATCCCTCGGTTGCTGTTACAGGATCGAATGTATCGAGGAAAGGTTGCCCTATCGATCAGTACAAGGCGCTTTTATACTTCCAAAGTACAACAGGTAACCAGGTTTATCTTATCCCAAGGGAATAGACCCTTCTAGAAAATAGAATCACCCTGCGTATAGCCACGCGAGGCTATTGGCTTTAAGGGATTACGGCAGGATTACGCTAGATATAGCGCACCAGTACATCCCGATCCTGGTCGGTGATATAATGAGAATCACAGGATAAACCAAAGGATAATGGAAAATGGAGAATAAGAAACCAAATGAGATGAGAAAAAAAAAAAGAGAAATGGAATGGAAAGGAAATAGGGAAAGGAACCAGTGGTGTAACGGGATCGTACTCTCACACTTCCCCCCCTCAAAGCTAGGTGGTAGAAGTAACACCCTGCTGGACAAGGTAGTCATGCAGAGGACGACGGGCGTTACCCATGTCGGACTCAGGTACCCAGCTGTCCTCAGAAGGATCATAACCCTTCCAACGAATGAGAAGCTCCACGGTGCCATTCCGACGACGACAGTGTGCAAGCATGGAATCGACCTCGTACTCGGGTTCATTTTGGAGGAGGGCGGGCGGCAGCGGCGGCGGTTGGCGTCCGACGAAGATCGTGTTCGGATCCCGATAGGGCTTCAGAAGTTGGACATGGAAGGCATTGTGAATCTTCCAGGCAGCTGGCAAGCATAAGCGGAAGGTAACAGGAGTGACATGTGCTTCAACGAGAAAGGGCCCGTAGAAGCGAGGTCGCAGTTTGGATGGGAGATGGCTGATGTCAAGATTGCGCGTGTCGAGTAGGACTCGATCTCCCACGGTGATGGTGTGGTCTGTGCGGTGGCGATCGGCCTGGCGCGTCTGTTGTTGTTGTATGTCGAGAAGGCGCTTGTGGGCCCGATCCCAAAGTTTGTGCATGGTTGTGATAAAATCATGAGCAGGTTGGACTGTGGCTAGTATGGTTGGCTATTGAGGTGTGAGTAGGTGGCATCCGTAACAGAGGAAGAACAGCGTCTGTCCAGTAGCGGCGTGTGTAGCGTTGTTGTAAGCAAACTCTAGAACAGGCAGGTGCAAGTCCCATTTGGAGATCTCGTCCTTGCAGGCTACTCGGAGGAGTTGCTCAACAATCTGGTTGAGGCACTCGGTCTGTCCGTCTGTCTGTGGATGGTAGGCGGATGACATGGCGAGTTTGGTCCCGAGCAGAGACATCAGTTCTTTCCAGAATTTACTGGTGAACTTAGGGTCTCGGTCGGAAATGAGTGTGGTCGGAATGCCATGTTGTGAGATGATGTAACGAACAAAGCGTTGTGCCGTCTCCTCGGTGCGTGCTGTCGTGTGTGTCGGGATGAAGTGTCCCATTTTTTAGAACTTGGCAATGACGACGAGGATCGCGTCATGACCACTTGTGGTAGTTGGTAGCCCGGTGATGAAGTCTAGGCTGACCACTTGCCATGGTTGTTCTGGGACAGGAAGAGGCTGTAGTAGACCCGCCTTTTTCTGCTTGCGGCTCTTCATCCGTTGACATGTAGTGCACGAGGTGACGAATTTCTGTACGTCATCTGCCATATGGGGCCAGTAGTAGTGTTTGGCAATACCGGTGAGCGTCTTGTTGCTACCGAAGTGTCCCGCATACAGGACGTCGTGGTATTCTTCGAGTAGTAGCTGGCGCAATGGAGGGTAATTAGGTACCCAGATCTTTGTTGATCCTTTCCGATACGCGATATCGTTGTCCCACAGTAGCAGATGTCGCTTTTCTGTCAAGGGAATTTCGGGGTCGATGGTGTACCCGTGTGTGAAGAGTCCCTTGACGAGTGGATTCATCCCTTCAACTTGGATCGCGGCAACGTGTGTAGGTCGGCTAAGCGCATCGGCTTTGTTTTTATGGCCAGGCTTGTACACGATGTCGTAGTGGAAGTGCGTCTCAAGGAAGTCGATCCACCGAAATTGTCGCCTGGAAAGGCTTGGTTGCGTCTTCAAATATTTTAGGTTGCAATGGTCGGTGTAGATTGTCGTCTTGCGTCCTTCGAGATAGCATCTCCACGTTTTGAAGGCAATAATGATAGCCAGGGCCTCCTTGTCGTGTATCGGGTAGTTGAGTTCTGCCCCGTGTAGTTTCTTGCTGAGGTAGGCGATTGGTTGCAGTCCATTCCCCTGGTCTTGCATCAAGACTGCTCCCACTTCCTGGTCGCTGGCGTCAGCTTCGATGACGTAGTCGCGTTCGGGGTCTGGCAAGATGAGTACGGGTGCGGACGTGAGTGCTTGCTTTAGCTGCTCCACGGCTTCCTGGTGCTTCGGCTCCCATGTATAGGGCGTGTCCTTTTCAGCAGATTCGTGAGTGGCACGGCGATTTTCGCGGATTGTGGCACAAACCTGTTATAGTAGTTGGCGAAGCCAAGGAACTGCTGTAACTCCTTCACATTCCCGGGTGTCTTCCACGTATGCATGGCTTTGATTTTCTTGGGGTCGACGTGAACACCTTGAGAGCTTACGATATGTCCGAGAAATTGGACTTTCTCGAGGGCGAAGTCGCTCTTGGATAGTTCGACGTAGAAGCGTTCTCGTCGAAGAATCTCGAAGACGCGTCGTAAGTGTTTGACGTGTTGTTGCATGTCGCGCGAGTAGACGAGAATGTTGTCCAGGTACACCACCACGCATTCGTCTAAGAGTGGGCGTAGGATGTGATTCATTTCTGCTTGGAACGTTGCCGGTGCGTTGGTGAGTCCGACGCACCAGATACTCGTACGATCCGTATCGAGTTCGGAAGGCCGTTTTGTGAACGGAATCGTCCGCCATTCTTATCTGCCAGTATCCGGATCGCAGATCTAGTTTTGAAAATGCCGTGGCTCCCCGAAGCTGGTCGAGCAGATCATCGATTCGTGGAATCGGGTACTTGTTCTTGATGGTCTGCTTGTTGAGAGCTCGGTAGTCGATGCACATGCGCAGGCTTCCGTCCGGTTCCGGTGTGAAGAGTACTGGGGCACCGTATGGTGAAGTGGATGGTCGGATGAGTCCTTTGGCGAGAAGATACTCGATCTGCTTCTTCATGTCGGCTAGCTCTGTGGGGCTAAGCCGATATTGTGCTCAGAAGGTCGGCTTCAAACCTGGTTCCTCCACAATCTCATGTTGGTGCGTTCGGTATGGCGGTAGCTCGTCCGGGAGGTCGTCAGGGAGAATGTCTTGGAACTCCTATAGTAATTCCTTGATTTTTCCTGGAGGTTCCAAGGTCTTCTCTCCGTCGGTTTCCACCTCTGTTGCTATCGCCAGGAATCCGTTGTTGGTTCACTTGACGTCCTTCTCAAATGTGGCGAGTGTCTCCACTGGGATATCTCCTGTATCGTCCTAGTTGGGTAACTGGACTCTCCTTCCTTTGATGTAGATGCTTGCGGTGCGATTTACCCAGTTGATCTCGGGGTTGAATCATTTTAGGAAGTCTCGCCCGAAGATCAGGTCAAGCCCTTTTATGTTGGTGATGGGGAGTGCAGGTTTCCAGCGAAGTGGCCCGATTTGTAGGTGTAGCACTGCTTCGCCGTATACTGGTAACTTGCTACCGTCCACCATTGTTGCAGAAAATGCTGATGGCTTGTACTCTTCTCAAAATCGGTCGATGGTTGCCTAGTCGCATACGGTGTGCGATGCTCCACTGTCCACGAGTGCTTGGAGGCATCGTCCTTTGCAGATGACCTCGAGCACGAGGGGCAGGCGTTGCTCGGAGTACCCAAAGATAGTTTCTTTGATTGGGTCATAGGGTACATCCCAATATTCGTTGCTTCCTACTCCTGAGCTGGCAGCTGGCCGAGGCTGCTTCGAGAAAGGCTCTTCTCCTGGACCCAGAGTTTCCGTGACGACTGTTCGTGTCGTTGACGAAGTTGCCGAGTTGGATGCATCCGAAGAAGGAGTTCGGGGTTTTTGCAGCTTCTTGTAGACCCCCAGCTTCCTTTTGAGCTGCTTCAGCTCCACCGATGTCTTTCCTGGGGAACGGGTAGTCGCTGTGGGCTGGTGTTGGGAGAGGACGTTGACTCCGTGGAAAGGTCGGCTTCTTTCCACACTCCTTAATTTGGTCCCCAAGTTCTCCGGTACTAGTATGATCTCCATAATTTTCTGCTTCTTCTGGAGTCCCTCCCGTAATTTCTCCAAGGTTCTAGCCCCTCGAGAATTACAACTTTTCATTAAAGCATCCTTATAGGATAGCTTTAACGAATCCTTATAATTTCTTGGGTCTACAAGGAGTCTCCCCGTCTCGGCAGAGTCTTTTTTCGCGGAGTTAGACTTTTCCTCTGCGAATTCCTCTGGCAAAGACTGGTCGTGGGGTGGAGATTTTTCCCCATCATTTTCTCCCGTTCGCGTCGAATCAGCTGCGTCGAAGTTGATTTATCCGGAAGTCAGCGGCCGCTTTCGGATCTTTCCTTTTTCACCAGCTAGATCCGCAATTACTGGCGAATCCCGTTTTTTGGCTTCTGATTGGCCGAAAACTTTCCGCCACTGTTGCGTGCCCGATACTCTGTCCGTGCGGCTTTCATTTTGTTGCTGTCGAAGATTCGATGACCCGACACCCCGCAAAAATCACACGTGAAGTTGGTGTTTTTCGAACGTGGCCGCCCTTCGAACCTGTCGTTTTCCATCGGGTCGGTGAACGTGGGGTGAGCCGAGCAGTCGCCCTGTCGCGTACTGCCGACGTGCGTCCGTTGTGTCCCGGCGTTGACCATGTCGAAGCGTTCCGCGGCCGATACGACGTCACTGTAGCTCGCGTAGTTTGTCGCTGCTACCTGTCGTTTGACTTCGGTCTTCAGCCCGGCGAGGTACGACTGTACTTTTTCCCCTTCCGTCAGGTCGGGAATTTGGTTATAAAAATCCTCCATCTGCTGCGTGTACTGCGCTACACTCCCGAACTGTCGATGGCGATGAATTTTTTCCCGGGCAAGGAAACCCGAATTTATCGGCTCGAAACGTTTCAGCAGGTCGGTGCAGGAACTGCTGCCACGTGGCTTAGCCGTGGATGAACGTGCTGTTACCGCCGATCCACTCGAGTGCAGGTCCTCGCATCAGTGTCGTCGCGAGTCGTACGCGTTGACCGTCCCAGACTGGCGAGCTCCATCCGACGGCTGCGAAGTAGATCTCCATGCCGGCGATCCATCTGCGGGCGTCGGAGTTTCGATCGCTCGGATCGAACGGATCAGGTGGGCGCGGTTTCGGAGCCTCGAGAAACTGCTACGACTGCTGCGTCGTCGCCGTTGTCGAGTTGTGCTGCGCTCCGGCGAGTCGAGTTACTCGCTCGAACTCGTTTCGCCACGCTTCGCGATCCGCTCGCATTTCCTCCTAAAGGGCTGCGATGCTCGCGAAGAGTTGATGGGTAACTTCGGCGTTGTCGAAGTTTTCCATCTTGTTCAAAACACGCGCGGGGGGGGTAATTCGAAAAATCGCGGAGCTGGTGCTAACCAGAATCGGCGTCGAATTGGTCACCCCGGCGGTTTTTCGGGGCAGGTTTTCCCGCTGCTGCTGCTTTGTTGAGTGCGGCCGAGTGAGAAAAGCTCTGATACCAAGTGTCACAGGATCGAATGTATCGAGGAAAGGTTGCCCTATCGATCAGTACGAGGCGCTTTTATACTTCCAAAGTACATCAAGTAACCAGGTTTATTTTATCCCAAGGGAATAGACCCTTCTAGAAAATAGAATCACCCTGCGTATAGCCACGCGAGGCTATTGGCTTTAAGGGATTACGGTAGGATTACGCTAGATATAGCGCACCAGTACATCCCGATCCTGGACGGTGATATAATGAGAATCACAGGATAAACCAAAGGATAATGGAAAATGGAGAATGGGAAACCAAATGAGATGAGAAAAAAAAAGAGAAATGGAATGGAAAGGAAATAGGGAAAGGAACCAGTAGTCTAACGGGGTCGTACTCTCACAGTAGCCCCTTCTCCCCTCCCTCCACGTCCTGCTCCGTCTGGTGTGTCTCACGTCACTCCCCTCCCGTCGGCTGTTCCGGTCGAGAGTCAGTGGACTCTGGTGGTCCCACGGCGCAGTTCTCGCCGCCTACCTCTCCCCGGTGTCCCCTCCCACGTCGTCACAGTCGCCGCCGCAGCCGTCGCAGCAGCAGCAGCCGTTCGTGGACTCTGGGGGTGCTGGCGTTGAGGAGGGTGCTAGTCCTGGGGTTCCTGTCGTGGCTTGTCCTGGGGGCCTCAGGGGTGGCACCGATGCTGGAGAGGGTTTTCACTCTTGGGGTGCTCGTTCTGGGGTTGTTGGAGTGGAGTGTTTCGAAGGTAGCCGTGGTGCAGCTGGCGGTCTTGGTGTCGATGCCGAGCAGCAGCAGCAGCAGTAGTCGCCACCGATGTCCGCCCTTTGCCTGCTTGGCCTTCCCTCCCCTGACCGCTCGCCTGCGCCTCCCCCACCGCCTCCTCCCCTTCCTGTCCACGGTCTTGTATTTTCTCCGTCGGACTCGTCCCCGGCTTGCTTCCCACCTCGTTCCCCTCCTGTTACTCCTTCTCTCTCTCCTGACCCGAGACCTTCGTCCCACGTCTGGTCTCGCCATCCCTCTCGTGCTCGTCCTATCTCTCCTGTTCAGTGTTCTCACCCCATGTTGCTTCGTTCCCACGCGTCTCGTTCTCCCTTCCTCCCGTCAGCTCCGTCGTCGCTCACTGTTGTGCCTCCCCCTCTATCTGACTACCTTCGTGCTGCTCGACCCCTTGTTCCTCGCGTTCTTGCCTCCCTCGTTACCGACCTGTATGTCCCTGTCTCTAGTCTTGACGCTCTTGTCGCTGCTGTTGCTGACTTCACCTCCACCCGCCGCCTTGACTATGCCACCACTCTTGTCTCTGGCCCTGCCTGCCCTCCGTCTGTCGGGGGTGCTCCTGCCCTTAGCAATGACATCCTAGAGGACAGCTAGTACAAGCTTGCTTTCCTGTCAGAGGCTGCTCCACATCTCTGTTCCATGCTGCTAGTCCCTGAGGGTGACCCAGACGCCTTTGACATCGCGACCCCTCGCACTTACGCTGAGGTGACCTCGGGACTCTTGGCCTCTCAGTGGATAGCTGCCATAGAGCAGGCGATGGCATCTTGAAATCCACCGGCACCTAAAGAAATCCACAAGCGCTGCACTTCTTTCCGTCCTCTGCAGACATCTCGCTCTACGTTCGTGCTCGCCAGACTCCGTTCTACATCCTTGTCTACGCACAGGCCACACCTCTGCCAGTAGACCACAGGCTCTCAGCTCCAGTGCCTGAGGAGTCAGCAGAGCCCAGTGGTCCTTACGCAGAATTGGTGGGTTGCCTCATGTACCTGATGACTTGCACTCGTCTAGATCTCGCATACCTCCTCAGCATCCTGGCTCGCTTTGTGGCCACAAAAGACATCGACCACAGCACAACGCGGCCGCTAAGAGGGTTTTGCGTTATCTAGCAAGTACGTCGGGCATGGGGCTACTACTAAGAGGAGGCAGGCCAGTAGTCCTTACTGGGCACACTGACTCTTCTTGGGCAAACGACGCTGAGACACTCAGGTCCTCTCCGGGCTACTGCTTTAGCCTTGGTGCAGGCGCGGTCTCGTGGAGGTCCATCCGTTCGTCATCTGTTGCGCAGTCCAGCTGCGAGGTTGAGATCTACGCTGCTGCTTTGGCAGCACAGGAGCTCCGCTGGCTAACTTTCTTGCTCACAGACTTAGGTGAGCGGCCTAGCTCTGCCCCAGTTCTGTACGCTGACAACAGGGCCATGATCCTCCTGTGTCAAAAGCCTCGACTCGAGGGCAGAGTGAAGCACATCCAGCTGCGGTACCTCCTCCTGCGTGAGCTACAGCAGCGTCGCCAGTCCCGCGTAGTACACTTGGCCTCCGGTGCCAATACAGCTGATATCTTTATTAAGGCACTTGCGCCTAAAGATCATCAGCGCCACTGTTTGCAACTTGGTGTAGTTCCTGTAGCTTCTCACTTGCTTGGACATTGATTCTGTACTTCTTTTTATATATTCTTTCCTGAATGGCCTAGTGGCTTCTCCTCCAAAAGTCGGACTAGTAGTGCCACCTTGGTTTGCTCTTGTCTTGTTTCTATTCTTGTTGACTGGTCTTCGGACCCTTGCTTCAGAGGCTGGACTAGAAGTTGTTAAACTAAGGTAGCTCGGAATGGTAGCAAGCCATAGAAATGGCGAGAGGTTTTAGGCTAGGAATGTTGAGGAGAGGAAAGGGGTCGAGAATAGAAGAGCGAGGGATACAAGGAGGGGGGTTGTACCCTCTGCAGTATGTTTCAGTAACACCTACCAAGCCTACCAATTATATAACCAAAATATATAATTTATCACACCCCCTAGGCTTGGTAGTGACAAGCCGAAACACACCCATACCCCCTAACCTAGCCCGCCCTTTCCCAGTAGCAGCCGCGATGACTCCGGAATCGGTCAACACCCACGGCCCCGGAGATGGCAATGGCGGCAGTCACGGTAGTGACGAGAGCGACGGCGGCGGCTGCGTGCGGCGGCAACAGGCCAGCGGCAACAGCGGCGGCGGTGGCGGCTTCAATGCCAAAGGCGAGTGCAGCGTCCCCCCCCCCCTCTTGGCGGCATGGCCAATCTCATCGGCTGTGGAGAAGGCCCTCACGAGGCAGTCGACGGCTGTGACAAGGAAGAGGGGACGCAGGGGAAGGAGGGGGAAGGGGGGGGGCCGTGGTCTAGAATCACGCCCGTGGCTGGCGAACGGGTCGCAGGTCTAACGGCGCCACAGGCATTGCGCGGCCGGCTGCAGCCCGACGACGCCGTCACAGAGCGGCGTCGATGCCGCGGCGGGACGTCGACGCTGCGACGTCGGCACGAAGGCGCCGTCACGCCACCACGGCTGGACGTCGACGCCACGACGGCGCGACGCCACGGCAGCGCGTCGGGACGGTTGCGGCACGACGACGCCGCCATAGCAGTACGACGCGGCCGCCATGGCAACGCGAGAGGGAGCGAAGGAGTGCGCGGCGGAAGCGTGGGGAGCAGGCCCGGGAAGGGGAACCTGCTCTGATACCTTGTTAAACTAAGGTAGCTAGGAACGGTAGGAAGCAATAGAAATGGCAAGAGGTTTTAGGCTAGGAAAGTTGAGGAGAGAAAAGGGGTTGAGAATAGAAGAGAGATGGATACAAGGAGGGGGTTGTATCCTCTACAGTAGATTTCAGTAACAGCTACCAGGCCTACCAATTATATAACCAAA